ATTATTAATATCTATATGTTCATTCTCCTAATCGCCACCGCGTAACTTCCCCTATCTAATCTGAAACCGCTGCAAAAGAATGTGCTCATATCTCATATACTGGGGCTTCTATATGTCATGACCCACATTCCGCTACTTTTAAGGCTGAATATTGGATAACAACGGGAAAAAACAGCTAAAAAACCACCGGAAATCGGTACCTGTTTCGCAAGTTGCTTACGTTACGTAAATACAATTAATCACATCTATTTTGTACTGCAATGCTTAGGTCTAAAAATTATCGAGTCGGACCGTAAAAGAACCAGCAGCTTCATTACGTCATCGCCGCGATTTTTTCTCCGTACGAAACATTTCCATGAAACTCCACTCGGGCTGTCTCGACTGACTCGACTCGAAAATCTCAATTCTGGTGTCAAAAGGTCATCAACCAAAGATAAACGTCTACAGAACTTCTGAGATACATCATTGTCGCTCGCTGTCTGATTTTGAAGAATACAATGACGTCGAGATAGTATAATACATACTCCAAGTATCGAAATGCATGCCATCGTGTCGGGATTCAATATTTCGACATTATGTCATCATCAGGAATGAAAAATTATTCATATTTGCAAGCTTATATGCACAAGTACCAAAAGTGTTTGACTAATCAAAACATTTAGTAGATGACATAGCTATGAATAAACTAAAGGTCAAAACCCTATTGACCTACAAAAACAAAGAGATCTCCTTTAAATCTTTCAGCCCATTGTTAAGCAATTGACGTTGCCATGCTAATAACTAATGGCTAGTTTTTAGCTGCACGAATAATAAAATTGTTATTTGAACTTGAGTTACATGGGGACATTTGTTTTTTAGGTGGCCTAGGTTTTGGATAATTATAAGTACCAGGCCTAGAACTACTAAAAATTATGCATAGAGTCAGGGAGTTTGGAGTGGTCATGTACTAAAAGAGAATGTGGTCACTTACTCAAAAAAGTTTTAGAAGGTGGCTTTCAGAGGAAAGCACAAATATTAAGGAAAAGAACAACATTTAATTGAACAAATGAAACAGGGTGACAGTTATTTTGACATTAAAAGAAAAGCTGAGAATAGACAGCTCTAAAATAAGGATAACATCATAGGACCTGCAAAAATAACAGAGCACCAATGAATGAATGAATGAATGAATGAATGAATGAGGCCTAGTTGTTAATTATAGGCCTAGCAAATAATATTGTTATTATTGTTATTATTATTATTATTATTATTATTATTATTATTATTATTATTATTTAATATTAATTACATTACAAGGTTTAGGCCAAGTTCATAAATGACGGAATGATATATTTAATTTTATTATTTAATAATATTTTTCTTACGCACTGTCCCATTTTAATTTCATGTTTTCAAATTTGTTTCAATTTTTTTTTTTTTTTTTTAAATTTAGTCAATGTCATGTGAAGCGTGACTATTGTGTCAGGCCCTGGACCCAGCTTAGCTAGGGGCATAGCGTAGGAAAGGGCCTATAGGTAACCTAACTCAGCCTGTAATTAGGCCTAGGTTAGCCTCTTTTGCTCTAGCCTTAATTGATAGTACCTATATTAATGGTGGTGGTACTTGCTGTTGTTTTGTAGGTAGTATTACATTTGATAACAAACATATGTAAGGTACTGGTTTTACCCGTCTCCTTATATGTTATGCTACATGTTAAATTTTTATTTACTTCCTTGTTCATTTTATACCGATGCAATTCCTATATAAATTAATGGTTAATTCATGTGGAACTATGTTTATCTATAAAAGTTATGTAACATTACATAATGATTTCATAGACGCTTTGGTATATTTTAGTGTAGCCCTGTGTTTCTTTATTTTTTTATTTATTTATTTCAACAATCTTTAATGAGGGTGGTCCATCCAGCCGAAGCTGATCATTAGGGACCTCAATACACATAGTAAGACAAAACAAAAAGAGCGTATCAAACTAATTAAATTACAGTAAAATAAATAACAACCTCTCAATACAAAATTTACATAAAGAATTAATTCAAAATTAAATAAAAAACTTGATATAAAAATTAAAATAAAATTACAATTAAAGATGAAAATGAAAGAGCAATATTAAAAAACAATAGGCAAAGGGACATTAAAACAACAAAGGGAATAAAGTAGCCTAAATAAAATAATCAAATAAATTAAAAATAGATAATAGGCCAATGTATATGAGAACTATAAATCAAATCACTCTTAATTTAAAGAAAATAAATCAATTTAAATTAATAAATAAAACAGAAAATAAATAATAAGGTAGAAATCAAAAAATGAATTCTCATCTACGCAGTAATAAGTAGTTCATAATCATAATTTATACTTTTTTTATTATTTAACAATGGTTTATACAAGTGTTTTGTATTTGTATTATATTTGACCTGATTATATGAGAGTTACTACTATTTCAATAAGAATACAATCAAGTTAAATCGTATCTTAGCGCGGAGTGTGATTCCGCAGGTTCTTTGTTATGAGGATTAGCGCGTCTAATTAAGGAAAGTTTGTGGCACTGTGGCGCAACAAAGCTAGAAGTCAATGGGTTAACATTGTGTAAAGTTTTGAGAAGCTAATTTTGTCAAATCAGAGTACTGTATTGCCAGTATTGGCAAGGTATGTTGTATTTATTTATCACATTTATATTATTTGTTAGCACTGTATTGCTAATGATTTATTTTGTTTTTAATCTATGATTTTAAGTAGCCTTAAGCTAAGCCTAATCATACTATAGGGAGCCGAGCGGTATTCGCCTGTCTCAGCAGTGCGCTGTAATTTGAAGTTCATTATGCTTAGCTTAGAGTTGCTAGACATTGCTAGCATACTGTATTGTTGTGCTGTTATTTTGTAACCCAAGTTAGCATCTTGTGATACAGGTCCAGTAAGGATCATCAAGATTATGGAATGTATTATAAAATGATAGTTGAATTAAATTGTTTAATATTGTAAAGAACACCAAGTTTTGTAACTGGTGGTTGTAGACCAAAGGTCATGCCAGCTACAGCATTACCGTGTATTGAAGTGCTATGTTATTTTAATTAACAGGACTTGCTATAGGCGGTCTCAGATCATTTCGGCCGCCAGATTGTTAACAATAGAAAGTATGGCGCGCCAATAGAGTTCCATTGGTAGTGTGGTTGTTGCAGGATGCGCAAGCGTAGGCAAATAATAATCTGGCCGTTTTTTAAAATTTAACTTAGGCATAGGCCTACATATCTGTATGTAATGCATGCTTATGCCCACGTGTTTTTCATTAGGTATATATATATTTATTTTTGTGTTGATAAAATATAATAACGCCTAATGATACCGTAATTATTCACATTTTATACTAGGCCTAGTGTATTTTTCTGTAGAAAAAATGGCCTTGTTTTAGTTAATTTTAACTGATGATAGTCGTACAGTAATGAGTTGTGTGTCACTATACATGTAATGTAATTTTGTACTTTTTATCTTCGGAATGTTATAAACGGATGTTCGTTGTTATGAATTATTGTAACAATTATATGAGCGCAGAAACTGATTTATCATGATAATGATTTTAATTTCTTCTTTACAGGTAGACGATGAGGGAAAATAAATTCTGCCTAAAACTAGTTTGATTGATGGTTAATTATATGTTTTGTATTGTTATATGTATACTGTATACGTTTTCGTGATATTAATTATGGCGGCACAGTATATGTACAGTATTGTAAATTGAAACACCTTACTACAAGACTCGCAAAAAATAGCAAAACGTAAACTGGTATAGTCTTTTTTTTTATTGATACTAAAGTTGTAACAATCACTGTAAATATTTAACTATATACTGAAACTTGCATAATACAAAAATAAGCAAATTTACATAAATATCATATAGGAATAAAATATCAAATATTATATGGAATTACCATATGTATGTATAGTATTTCAATCATTTCATTTATATATTATATTATAAGTCCATTCTTATTAGACAATACTATATGGGTGTTGTCTTCAACTTAATGCACTAGGCACACTCATTTGAATGATAGTACTCTTAGAACAAAGGAAACGAATACGACAACAATGGTGTATTTCATCTGTTTAGTTCTTTTGTAAGGCTACCTTCATTCATGTTTTCATAATATGTAAATAGGTTATGATGCATTTTGGTAGTTCCACAGTGTTAGCATATACGAGGCTTAGCAATGGGAAATAGCTCACTGAAATACCTCAGTGGTACCCTTGCTATTCTCCATCTTGATAGGTTTGAACGCTCTTCTATTTATATGGGCCCCATACCCAGACCTATTGTTTACATCAGATATGTGGATGACACTGGGGCTGTCGTCAAAGACACTAATCACGCACATCTCCTCCTTAAACATATTAATGCTCAACATCCCACCATCAAGTTTGAGATGGAATTATCTGATGCAGATGGATTCCTACCAATACTCGATGTTAAACTTAGGATCAATTCAGATGGATCGATTTCCACCAAATTTTACACTAAAGCGGCCAACAAAGGTATCATTCTGCATTACAAATCGCACCATTCCCTTTCTATTAAAAAAGCAGTGGTTACCAATGAATACAAAAGAATTGGTAAATTATGTACAGCAGAATTTGTGGACGAAGGGATTGGGATTTTAAACCATAAACTTATGAACAATGGATATCTCCGCCACTGGTTGAACCCTCCCGCTCACACTGCGAATAAACCCCGGTCTTCCCCGATGATATTAAGCTATAAATTTCATCATTCATTTATTCGACCAAACATTAAAAAGCACAAACAAACAAGAAACAAGACGATTTTTAACGTTACAATTTATGTTCATTTTCATCACGGAAGAAAAATAAATAAAAAATTCAAACATCAACAAGTGATGATGCTTCAGGATAGAATGATGGTAGAGTAAAGATCCTGTCTCTTATACACATCTAGATGTGTAAGATTAAAAGGCAAAATACTGGAAAACAACAATGCTGTGGGAAACAATGGCTGGATCTCAGTAGAGATACAAAAATGATAAGCAACAGCTAAAAAGTAAACGTAAGAAAACAGCCAGAAATATATATATATATAAATACAGTATATATATAAATTATACAGTAAATATTTTTGCGTGAATAACATGTCATAACGCAAAAAAAAAATCTAAAATTCAAACATAACAAACGAAATGAAGTTGTATACAGTAAATATTTCCCCTTATTCATGTCACCTTCTCAACCATCAAACGAAATCAACAAATGTATTTAATTAGAAAGTCACGTTTAATCGGAAATGGTTAAAGACAAGGCGCAAGATGTGTAAAATATTTTCTGATTTTATTCACCAATTCTCAACATTAACAATAAATAAAAAAATTTAAACATATTTCGAGAAGTGACGAAACAAAGTTGTATACTATACAGCCGCATATTTTTTTTACATTACATTTTTATTTATTACAGTATCACGCAAGAAAAATAAATCTAACGTATCAACATCAAACATTTTCACATTATACATAAAACATATCGGAGGATGTACAATAAAACTAACAATACATAATAATTACTTATTTATCATAGGGCCCCTATATTATATTAATAACACACATTCTATAATACTAACAATAATATACTTTATGCAAAACACGGAGACACTTGAATCGCCCATAAGTGTCTTTTCATCAAGTCCGTGCAAGACCATACATAGTTAGAAAAGAAAAAATTATTGAAAACAAAATGAGTTAAAGAAAACAACAAAAACATAATATTTTAACTACCAATGAAGCTATACCCCGCCGGACACCAACCCGGTATTTCTAAGTTTCGGGGATAATAATAATGATTTACTGTATCTTTAAACAAATATCGGCCTAGATTTAAAATTCTTGTTTTAATAGTACATTATATTTTTATACCGGTAAATAAATTCTTAATTATTCACTGTAGGCCTAGGCTTACATATTTTCCCCTTTTTGTTATTGACGTATCCAGCTGTTATATGACTACATTCTGCTCATTAGCGGCTGTTGTGTATTCGGTGGCCCCTTTGGCGTTCCATACATTTGGCATGGCGGCCGAAATGACTGGCGGCCAAAATGATCGAACACCCTATAGGCAGGGCTAAATGCAGATAAGATACTGAGTTGCATCCTAGCATGAAGCTTGTGCAAGGTGGGATTAAGTTCCTTTGTTTACTTTTATTCGATAGCTGTGTATGACAACTATGTGTTATTTTATTTCTTGTACCTTTTTATGATTATTGTGATTGAAGTGTTACTATGAGAGGTGTTATGATTATTATACTTTGATAATCATGTTAGACAGCACCTTTATTTGCTATTCTTACATTAGTAATTAATTTCATTTTGATTTAATGATTCTTTCATTTTATGTTTTCTGTAAGGCAGTAAGCCAGTTGAATCATTATCAGTACAGTACTGTACTTTAATGGAACCTATGTTACTATCACTGTGCACCGGTTTATTGGTGTATTGATTATTAATTATTAGTTGTTACTTTGTAATTTTAAGCCAATGGTTTCTTACGAAGTTCAATGCCATAATTAATGCTAGATATAAATAATGAACCAATTGGTCAGTTGTGGTTGCACCTCGCAATGGCTGTACTTTCATGGTTGCTATTATTGTTTTATGCTAACTAACTATTATTTTTATGATTGTTGATATGATTATATGGATCTTATAATTAATACTACTTTACTTTATTTTAGTAGCTTGATGTGTGCTGGCATCTATTGCTCGGTCAAGTTGGGGGTTAAGATATAGTTTGGTATAATTTCCTAGTTCCTATTCGAAATAAATAACTCGTCGTTGAAGTCAACATCATCTCTCTGACTGTTATTTCTCCTGTGTACACATAGAAGTGCACATTTAGTTACAGACGTACCGTACATCACATCAATCGGTAAGATTTTAATAGGCCTACCGTAGCGTACCGGGCTGGGTAATAAGAGAAAAGAAAGAGGGGAGAGGGAGGGAAAGAGAAAGAAGAGTAAAAGAAAAGGAAAGAAAAAGAAAAAGAGAAGAGAAAAATAAAGACAAGAATAAAAAGGAAGATATCATAATGACCAGACTCAACCCCTTCTCCACTTCAAAAACTGTCATAACTCCTTTGATCTATGCTGCCCAATGGCGTAACCACTGGGGGACAATGGGAAAATATCTATCTTTCAAAAATCTTCCCCACCCCTTTATAAATGCCCTTTTCATCCCCTGAAAGTGCCTAAAAACCTCAAATTTCGCACGCTTCGTGCGCATTTCTTGTTAACATGGGCCAACAATTAGGGAAAATATCCATCTTTGGAAAATCTTTCTGCACCCCTTGACAAATGTATCCTCTGAAAGTGCCTAAAATTCTCAAATTGTTTGCGTGCATTTCTTGTTACGGTAGGCCAATTTCCTCGACCCTATAAATTGCATATTTTAGGGAGTTTTCATCAATTCCGACGAAATCAGAATTAAAAACACAAAAATATTTTTTAGGGCTTTTTTAGGTTTATCCTTTTAAGTTATTTAAACACATAATAGTCCCAAAACTCAAGAAAGACAAATTTAAGATAGATCGTTTTAACCTAAAAGAAGGGCCTCAATGTGTATAAAGGTGAAAGAATATGTTTGTAATAAATAAAACCATGATGAAAATGCTTAGGCCTATATTTAGTTTCAAACACACGTGTGTGGCCTATACTATAATTAAGATAAGCCCTATGTTGTATTGTTTTCTATATGGGGAGTGGGGTGGGGTGGGTATGGTAAATTACTAACCGGGAAAATAAATACCGTACCCACTCTGACCCAAGCCCCCTGTTACACGCCTGGTGTTAGCGCCAATATGTGCCCTTGTGCGGACAGGGGATGTGCCCCCTATGAAGCTGGAAACCTTGTTTTTGCAAAATAAATTGATGCAATTTTGCTATTATAGGCCTAATCAATAAATTCCTCATCAACCGATATAACCTTAAACATTCTTGGAATTGACATAACATTCAGTGTGAAATGTGGCTCTCTTTGCAAGCACATCTAACATCTAAGGAAAGAAGAGCTTAGATTGGTACCAGATAAAATAATTTTGTTATCAACATTAATACATTATGCTAAT